TCAGGTAAATTACACTCCTGCACATGCAATCGACAGTGTACCGAAACTTAGTGGCTGAGAATACATTATAATCTGTGTTGCGGATTTAGCTGTTAACCGACAATCAGCTGTACATGTTAACCGACCATCACCTGTACAAAAACGCGCTGGGGTGGCAGAGTATTGGAAATTTGCGCACACCTTATTTGAGACCGAAACTACCTACTGAACGTCTGTCACGTAACGTTAATTGTGTACAATTAACTTTACGCTTCGGAAGTGCGTAGGTATGCTAATTATTTCTTGGATTTCACCTTCCAAACCCCCAATGCGATTACGAAGTTCGACGCAACGGGTACCATGCAATAATTTTGGGCTTCAGTGGTTATGTACACATAATTTTAGTGCATCCATGGATGTGCTTGCATTTTCTCCCCTCGCAATGCATGCCGTAGCGACCTCCACTTCAAAGCTAAGCAGCACAATTAAGAATAATAAATCGTAAATTCTTGTTTGTGGAATGCCCATAATGTATTGACCTGTGCTAATTAACTAGCAAGGCATGCATGTGGGCAACGAACGAAAAAAAAACGGGATCAGTGTGTTTCACTTTCCAGAGGCGCTGCCACCGACGGTACCACCGAAAACATGGGTGATTTATCGTAAGTATGGCCTGTGTATACGTTGAAGCCAGTATGGCCTGTGTATACGTTGAAGCCATTCTTCTTACTGAGTGTACGGTGTCACGGTGTCACGACGCCGACGAAGGGAGCAGACTGTAGGTCGAAGATTAAACTGTTTATTCAACCGAACTTGTGCCCTGTCGACCAAAAGTCAAATTACAACTATGCACACTGCCACTTATAGCTGCGAACTGAGCGTCGGCCGTCGATAAACTGACAAGCGGCGAAGCGCGTCGGCGTTTATACAGGTGCCGTCGAATGTTTCAGGCTTATCACTGGTCGTTGCGCAAGCTCGAGAATAATCTCGAGTTTTCGCGTCTTGCGCGTAATCTTAACAGAACGCGATTTGCAATAATCGCAAACTTTCTCGAACAAGGAGGCGCAGTTTGCGCTGAGCATTCCCGACAGGCTTTGCGGGCGAAAGCCGAATGAAACAAAATTGAGAAAAAAAAAAAAACTCGCGTGTCAATAGCGAATACACGCTCAAGACTAAAACCATAAAAAACCTCAATATGCGCGAAAATTGACCATCGGCGTCGGCTTCGATCTAGTGATGCGAAAGATCCGGTGATTACGTCACAATAATGTCGAATCACATGATTTGTCATCATCACGTCATCACACAACATCGTCGATGGGTCAGACGTGTGTTAACTTTACTAGTGCTGCGAAAATAGTAATTTGATGACGTTACCTTACGACGTCGCATGATTGCATCGCGTGCCATCATCGTCTGTTTAATGGCGGGCCGATCCAGGAGGCGCCACTAAACCCCCATAAAGTGCAGAAGGCTTGCAATGCCGGCGATACCACAAAACATTCGAAACCACGAAAGTGCGAAAAGCTCTCAGCAGGGAATGAAATAGGAGTGGTACAATCGACAGAGATGAAAAATATTCGCCTGAGCTGATTTTAGAGTGATCTCAGGTGATTGCGTAAAGGATGTTCTTTTTCTCAGGAGAGCATGATAGACGAAAACAAGGTGAATTAATACCACCACTGAAGGGTTAGTACCGAACTAATCCATAAAAGGTTACGACGAGACGAGGCTTCACAAACTACAGTTCATAACCTAATGTTATATGTTGCCCCATCAGGGGCCCTTTTCTTTTGCATTACTCGTGGTAGTGACGAGACGTAACTTCAAAAAAAAATAGTCTATAACCTAATATTACATGGCGCTCGATAAGGGGCCATTTTTTTTCGCAACAATACTCCGGGTAGTGACGACACGTAGCTTCAAAAAAAATGTAGTCTACTAGCTCATTCTAGATGTTGCCCAACAGAAGACCTTTTTCTTTTGCAACAATACTGATTTGGTATGACGATCGACTCATGTACCAGACGACGCGCCCATTCGCGTCACGCCCAACGTGCTGCTGTGCGCCACCAGTGGACGCGGGACGGCCAAGCTGTCCGAGGCCCTGGACGCCTACTGCACGCACGTCATCTACACCGGACCGCTGGTCATCAAGCGTTTGCCCGGAACCGGACAGCTCTTGGTCGATGTCAAAGGTGCTCATCTACATACTGCAGTGATGACTCACACATCCATAGGGAATCATACCGATGCATTGCTCCATCGACGAGGCCGTGAAGTGTGTGTGTAGTTGGGGCGGAAGAGTGGGGAATTCGAGACTGCGCTTAGGAATCTTTCGATTTTATTTTTCATATAGATTTATACACGCGCACATACAAACTTTTGAGACAGATAAGAGACCAACACCGGCGTTGCCTTGGTTGAACTATTCTTTCTTTTTTCGTTGCGTGTCCACGAGCAGCGCCACCTTGCGGCCGCTTTTTCGCGCGCCTTGTGCGCAGCATGGCGGTTGCCGCCAACGTATTACTGCGCCGATTCAACACAAACCACGCACAGTCGTAAATAAAGAGAAGCTCAACCAACGCTTCTTTACTGCTTCAGTAGGCGTTCGATAACCTTAAACAGAAACGAGCTCAGAAGCCCGTTTCGTCGTCAGTGTTTACTCTTGTGTGAATGCGCTTCAGTGCTATACGATATTCCTTTCATTCACGGTGTGTACAAATGGAGAAACGCACTTGAATGGCACGTCACGCACCGCGTGTTTGATCAAATGACTTGAAACCTAGAGTACGCATTCGAGAAGGCGTCCTGAGTGGACAACTGGTGATTATTTCACATCATTACCATGTGTGTGGTTGCAGATGATCACTTTCCTGGATGTATTACCATGTTCGACGTGGCGCATTCCAATAGCAACGTGAAAAGTATTTTTTTCTTCGCTCGATACAAATGCAGCCAAGAAACAAACTTAGTGTGTATTTTGAGCCTAATAACGAATTCTCGTTATGCAGATACCGAAGCTGACTGGTGGCAGAATATTATATAATTAGTTACAAACTTATTACCTTAAATTACTAAAACTCACGCTACACAACGCTTTCCTTCATTCTGTTACTTGGAATGTTTTACTGAGCGTCTAAAAATTGTGCCACGTGAATTTGACACTTTTCTGACAGCTCGTCATAATTCGTGACTGAAGGGGATATGTCAGTCAAAAGCTTCCACCTATAGCGGCTGTTAGCCACGTTTTTTCGTTTCTGCTTTCACCGCGGGTGCACTCATATGTGGCTATTATTGCCATAATGCCTCGCAAGTCCCTCGAATGCAGTAACCTGGAGGCACATGCCTCACGGAGTAGTACATGTAAATCGCGTTCCTCATGGCAATGACACGTGCGTACGGGAGCGAAGAGTGAAAGTCTAAACAATAGCAACGGAAACGCTTTCGTCGACGCAGACAACGAGGGCTACCGCGTGTTCTCCGGTCTGACCAGGACCCACGAGCGGTACGTGTCCTTCCGCTGGAAGGCCGCCTCCTGGAACGAGGGCGACGTCCTCCAGACGCTGGTCGCCTACCTGCGCTTCAACAGGCTGCGAGGCATCGAGCTCGTCATGAGCAGCCACACCGACCGGGCCAAGCTCATACGATTCTGCGAGGTACGTTTGAGACAAGCTTCGTATGACCCAGCACAGTGGGTCGGTCCTTCATGTCATCACCATCATCGCCATGAGCCTGACCACGCTCACGTCAGGATAAAAGCCACTCCTATTTCAGAATGCCAATCAGCTTCGTCCAGTGGTTGCTGCATATCGGAATTTCCGAAATCTCATCAGCCCGCCCATAACTTTCCGCCTCGTCTTCACACGCCTGCCTTCTCGTGAAATCTAGTCTGTTCCTCCTATAACCAGCGGTTACCTTGCAGACACCCCTGCCCATGTCCATTTCTTCTTGATTCCGACTGAGATGTAATTAGCCTAAAGAAGCCAATCAATGATCTAGCACTGAGAGGGAAAGTACAGGAATTCAGAGTTTCGCTCTTAGTGAGGAAACCAACCTTAGCGTAGATACAATGAATGATAATCTGATGAGTATCATTACGGAGTGTGCAGTGGAAGTTGGAGGCAGGGTAGTTAGACCGGACATTGGCAAGCTTTCCCAGGAAACGAAGAATCTCTTTAGGAAGCGTCAAATCATGAAAGCCTCAAGTATAACAGACAAAATAGCTTAGAGTTAACAGCGTGAAAATAACACACAGCAGACAGGCAATAGACGAGACAGACGCTGTCCCGTCCAAGGGCGTAGCCAGGGTGTGGCACACCGAACACGTGCACCCCCCCCCCCCCCCCCGAAAAAAATTTCTGGCCGCGCCTAGGCCCGTCTGTTTCCTGTCCACTGTGCAATATTTTCGCGTTAAAAACCCTGGTGATGAGCGAGACAGAGAACAAGAGAAAACACCGGATCCTGGGCCAGCTGTCCTTATTCTGCACTTCGTCTTCCTCCCCCTTGCTCTAGCTATACGCGCGCCGAAGCGCCAGCGTCTTTTTTGGTCATGACACTATGCACAATACACTAGCCCAGTCAGCCACTTAATTATGCAATTAGCATGTAATGAAGTCTTGTTGCACTTCTGAATGGTCACGGGAAAGTAACAAAGCAAAACAGAGATGTGAAATCTTCAGCAAATAATAGGAAAGCTGTCTATGTTTCCCTAGCATAATTTACAAGGTACTGCAACCGTACCATATTTCTCCCCGAATTACAAATAAACTGCGTCCTACCTAAAAATACTACTGAATTTAATGAAGAAATGTGTAAATTTGATGGCTCGCCTCGTTTACTTTGTCAGGTGCAATATTATTGCGAACTGACACCCCCTAATGAGGTCACGTAGTACGTGACGCCACACAGGCAATAAGAAGAGCGTTTCACACTCGCCGCCATGGCAACAGGTGGCGCTGACTGACGCTCCCACGCTTAACTGCACACATATACCCTATATAGCGTACGGTGGGATAACCACCACCGTAGCTCAATGGTAGAGCGTCGGACACGCTATTCGAAGGTTGCAGGTTCGGATCCTGCCGGTGGCAAGTTATCTTTTTGTCACTTCTCTTCTTTCACACCTACATTACAAATATTTCTAATAATATTTCCTATTCTTTTCCTGGCATAAATGTTTGTTAGTTCTCAGTAATATTGTTACTAAATGTGATGACCCAGGACAATGTGTCCATCAAGTCATCATCATCGTGATATACGATGAATCTCGTTATAACAAACACTGTCATAGACAAGTTTTGGTTATAGCGAATTAAATACGAACTTTGGCTGGTCATGCTTCATTTAAGCGGCATTTAGTCGTTTTATATGAAACCGAAAACTAGAGCGCCCCCGCAATACTGGCTGAAACTAAAAAGAAAAATTGGTTCGCGTAATGACGAAAACACGAAAGGTATAATAAAAATCAAGAGAAATGTTGAAAATTTATTCAAAGCCACATTTTCTTCTATTTTTCGAAGAAGTTGCCGTACTTTTGATTATTCTAAAAAAATTTATTTGACAGGTTCCGCCACGTCATTAGGTGGAGTATGAAAGGCCACCATGGAATAGGCAACTCTACCACGTTTACAGTAGCTTTGAAGCCTGCAAAAATGCGTTATCGTATCTAGCATGCTTGCACGAGCCAGATTACAGATTTGTGGGAGCCCATTTTCGTCGCTACTGTTACAACTAATTTCGAATATAACGAACTTATTTATGGTCACGGTGTCACTTTCCTTACAGCAATGCCTGACTGCAAGAAAATTTAAATAAGTGGTTTGTCGGTATTCTTTATAGCATCAAATAGTTTGCATACGACAGGGCCTTATACTGACACTATCTTTCGCTTTTACGCTTTACCGTGTGTGTCTCTCATCTGTGGCACAGAACTTCGTGCAGAAGATGAAGACCAACGCGAGCCTCATCTTAAGGGTAGAGAAGGCTGTGCAGCTCAACAAGGGCCTCTTCAAAAAGCTGGCCAGGTAAGGTGGTCTATCGTACTACGCAGTGACATTTACGAGGGCTTTTAAGGTTTTAGCTGATACGGCCACTTACTGAAGTTGAAAATAATAGTGATCTTCATTTATCGCGCAGGTTCGTTTGTTTTTGTTCGGCCATTTTCTGTGACATTTCCATTCTTAAGAGATGTTCCGTTGTTCACTTCTGCGAGAACTTTCAGAGCTGTTTTTGCACGCACATGACTTAAAGGAACGGTTACATGACTGATTTTACGGAAAAACAGGCGCACGGAAGTTCCAAACCATGTGCGGGCTACTGCACATGGTTCGAAACTCTATGGTAAGTGCTTTGCAAGCGTTACATATTGCGAAAACTGTGGCAGGTCTACATCGCTGACAGTCATGGTGACCATTTTCATCTAACATACCACCATTTAACGCGATTGGAGGATATGCCGAGAAAACTGCAGCCAAGGGTATCTTTCTTCTTTTGTATGACACAAACGTATCTGTATTGTTGTCCCTGTGCCGACGCGTTACGTCACCCGACGATTCGTTGAGTGAAATCTATGCCGACGATAAATCTATTCGGACGTGTGGTTCACACGCAGTCTCCCCGCATATTTGGTCCTGGAGACGCAAGTGGTCAACATGCCCGGACTGCAGACCAGGCGTTTCCCAAACGCGTACCAGCCATTCGCTGGTTCGCACAAGAATGACGTCTACATGGCACGTATCAAGCCTCCTGAATACGCAGGAGCACATTTTTTTTTTCGAATGTCACGGAGTACTCTATTACGCATTGCCGTAAGACCAATACGTACGAGTATCGTCTCGGTAAAGCTTTATAACAGCCCTCAGAAAGTAACAAAGATGCACTGGATTAGCCCGGGAGGGAGGGGGGCACACCAAGCGCATCCATATGCAGAGCTAGAAAACAATACAGCATACTCGCATGCACGGCCCCCAGTACGTATCAAGGACGTGTTCATTGAAAGAAAGATCTGCTTATATCCCTGTAAACAATCACTCCATAAGAATACCTTTATGCTGTCAAAAGACTCTTCCAGCACAACAGTTCCGATGTCCCCTCCCTTTCAAAAAGTAGTGAGGCGCACACCTAACGAAAATGTCCACGTGACTACATCAAGGCCTCTCTCCTATAGTATCTCAAGAAAACCACACTATATTAGGATCATGCATTATCTCGTTATGTATAAGACCTAACTTTTCCTTCCCTACGGGTCTCACAGAGGTACCGACTGTGGCAGGTGCACCCGTGGCGTCGACACCTGCACCTGGACAATGTGTGCTTCACCATATCCATGGCTGTCATCAAGGCCCGGAAAAGTCCTACCAAGAACAAAGTTCTCGAGTACTCTTACACCAGCATAAAGGAGGTACGAGTCTATGAGCATGGGCGGGTCCATGAGGGGTGCGGGGAGGCTGTCCCACCCTCCCCATAATAATTGTTAAGTTTCGCATCCATAGCGAAGCTTGTTTTCTTTTGGACCAACGGGGGTGAAATGTTCGGTAGTCAAACTTCGCCACACCTAATGCAGAACCTTGAGAAGGCCTACGCACCTTGCCAACGAAGACTACCTGGCCACTGTCATAATGATCTCTATAGGCTGTTGTTAACATGCATGCCCCCTCCCTCCAAATACACTGCCGAGGCTGTGATGTTAGCTTCTGTACTCCCGCGCAACAGGCAACAGTTCAGCAAGGCAGTGATGCTTCTCTCGATTGAACAGGTCTATACGTATGAATGCACTTCACAGCACACGTTTTTGTCGTGTTCATCCATGCGTGCCGAGTTAAAAGAACTTTGGACTGCACGAGCAGAAGACTCCGTTCTGCTTAGACATAGGTGTGATCAACGTTCTCCATTAGTCGAACGAATGCGGAAGAATTTAGGCACAAAAAAGAGTCCCGAACAGACACAGACGAGAGCCGATTTGAAACTGACTTCTCTAATAGGCGGGCGGAGGGCAAAGCCTCAACGTAGCGCCCCATACCCTCCCCATTGCTCAGTCTCGACTGAAGATAATAATTTCGCAATGAATTCAAAATGAAAAATAAGCGATGACGTCCTTCCCAGAATGACCTGCCTTGGGGCCCCTGCTCTCTATAGGCAAATACGAGAAGTCAGCAGCAACATCAGGTGCCCTAGGTAGTTATTTTGAAACCTGCATCACCACGACACCGCACCTTAACCAACAAAAACACAGGGTCCGACTGAGCAAAGGTTTGGGAAATAGTAAGCGCCCATGTAGGAGGGGAGGAGGGTGGTGTGCCCTCTCCCGGTTCATCTGTGTAATTGTGTATGTTTACTGGTACAACATTGTGGTGCAACTCATCATGCTAAATGCCGAGCTTAACTGCATCAGCAAAACATTGTATATATATAGACGCACGAGTACACAATGGCTCAAGTAGTCAAATTACGTGAAGGATGTACTGCATGGAAAAAGTAAGAGTCACAACTGTCCAAGTTGTTCAACTTTGCTCACCGCAGCCCTGCGAGCAGAGCTCCATGAAGAAAGGCGTGGATTGGAGAGCTCTTTCCCGGTTTCGCGAGAACAGGACGATCTACTACGCCTACGACAACAAGCAGACCTTCACCAACAAGGTTTGTAAGCAGCGAGGGCTAATGCGAACCTATACCTGTGCAAAACTGTTTGTCGTTTTCAATCAGCTATAGTTCGACCATCGAATACATATGCATTATATGTCTTCATTGTGATTGCGAAAGCCTTACGTCGATTATGGGTAACGAAATCCAGCGTTGGCGACAGGACCATCAATGGTTCCAATATTTTGTGTTGCCATCAACTGCTACGAGCTCCATAATGGTAGCGTGGCGTTTTTGAGCTTGTCCCAATAGACCACCATGGAGCTTCTAGCGGCTTGGCGCACATAACTGACTGTGTGCCTTCGATTCCTCCCCATCCACCATCAGCGTCATTCGGTCCTTCATTTCGCTAATGAAAGAATTTATTTCGCATACATGGCCAACGTAACATTAAAATACATGTTCGGCACAGAACTTGTTACATGACAAGAACTCTGACGGGTCTGCAAAGGAAAAAAGAGTAAGACATATATGTGTGCCAGTCTTGGTGTTCCGTTCAGCCGCAAGTACTGTGGGCAGATGAGATTAAGGAGGACCCAGTTGACGGTTGGAACATGGTAGAGGCCTTTGTCCTGCAGTGGACGTAATCAGGATGATGATGATGATGTTACTATTATTGTCGCAGCTGTGGCGGCTGGCGCACGAGTTCCCTCGGTACTGCGTGGCCGCTTACGACGTGGAAAAGGACGACTTCGAGGGAGTCTGCCCCAAGAAGAGCGTGCCCCTGCTAGGCGTCGTCAGGAAGCTCGTCACGTCCACAGTGCGAGCCAGGCTGGATTGACGCGAAGGCTGGATTCCCTGTGCTTGGCCAGGGACAGCTGGTCGGGCACGACCATACGGGCCAAGACCGTGGACTCTTATGAACGTGACGGGATCTCGGACGCCTGCATGCGTGTCGCGTCACGTTTTTGTAAAGCAAGAAAGTATCGCATATTATGAGCCTTTAGCGTTTTATTCGCTGACGTATTGTAGTCTTCCCCCTCCCCCTTTTTTTATTTCCGGCGAAGGCACGCCGGTGTGTTTGTAAAGCTTATGTCGTGGAAGGTGCAGGCACATCGTACAACATGCGCATGTTTGTTATATGTGATAGCCGAAAGTTCAAATTAAAAACATGCTAAAGTGAAAGCCTCACATGCCAGCAGCAGAAAGCACAAGACCGGGTTGATTAGCGGGTTGATTGGCGCGGGCCAATCGTGGGGGAGGCCTTTGCCCCACAGTGGACGTAGTCAAGCTGATTATAGTGCCTCGTCGAAAGGAAAAAGGAATCATCGTTCCAGTGGTTGGTTGGTTGGTTGTTCTACAGAGTCCTGGCGTAACCCACCACGGGGGATCGGCCATGAAACGGACGGTGCCTCATTTGTAAGGTGGAGTTGTTTTACTACCCTGATTATTTAGATAACTATGTTTAAACAAAGAACCAATTGAATAACGATAGAATAGAAATAAAATAGAGGTAATAAAAACAACGAACAGGCTAATATAATTTGAAATAAAGTGAATTTATGCCTCAGCTTAACATTCTAATCGCTTTGTTGCCTTCAGAAAATCACATACGGCCTCGCAAACATTCCTGTGGCTAAATCCCTTTTCAGTTGCTCCAAAGGGGAGGACCACTGGAAGGGATAAATTTAGAGCCAACCTACGGAGAGGTTCTTCTAACAGTCTCCTCCGTTGGTTTGTGTATAACCCGCATGTTAAGAGGGAATGGTGAAGGGATTCACTCTCGTTTCAGTGGAGGCATAGGGGAGACTGTGCCAGACCAGACCTGTGTAGATAAAAGTTCAGGGGGGGGGGGGGGGGGCCTCGGCATCTTAGTCTCGTAATTGATATCTCCGCCGTTCCAGTGGTCGTCAACATAAAGCAACAAAAATCTTTATCGTCATCATCACACCTTGCTTGTACCTCTCGGATGAGCCCACTACAAAGCTGTTAGCGCAATCGCCACCCAAATACTCACCATCATGATAAGGACGTTAATGATCACCACCTTTGTCCAAACCATTGAAAAAGATGCCATGATCAAGATTATGACCACCGAGGTTTGTGTGCTTAGACTTACGTGGACATAGAAAAAGTTCCAAGGTGGTCGAAATTTCCGGAGCTTTACGGCGTCTCTCGTAATCATATTGTGGTTCTGAGACGTTAAACCCCAACAACTACTATTATTAATATTAATATCTTATTATTGAAGACTATGACCAGGTTTAAGGCAGATAAATATTTTGTTCCTTCCATTCATATCAAGCCCCCTCAATATAAACTCGAATTAGTGGTTAAGAAAGGTAATGAATTACGAACAGCACGATACTCTAGAGAGAGAATAAAACGTTTATTAGATTTTCTGCGCGAATATATCGGTGAGTGGGATCCTTCGTCCGGGATACCATTGGTGCGGGCCGCCATCCTCGCACGTTTCGCGAGGGCCTCTTGGGTCTTCAGATCCACACGGCGACACAAAAAGAAGCAACCCTTGCCCCCACATCTGAAACTTAACAGTCCGCAGGCATTAACCTTACTCTTATTACAGACACACACGTACTCAAACCTTGCCACGCTTCACGTTTATGATCCTGATACATACCCCAGCGACACATGCCCATCATGACACAGCGACACTCGCACACATGCTCTGGGAGTGTATAACAACTTCTCCCGACTCTACCTCAAAACAGTGAGAGAGGTCCCTCAGGAGCTTCCTTCTCGCCGACCAGCAATGGGCCGTCCAGCTGGCCCACGAAGCGGCCGCCAGGTACTCCCTGACGATCCTTGCGTGGGAGACGCCCGCTACGCGCTAAGCGCGTCCTGCAGGACTGAAATAAAGTTTTTTTCATTCCATTCCATCCCTGCTGGCGCTGTCCGAATTGACATCAGCCGTTGGGGGCCGCTATGGTATTCTCGTCGCAGTCAGATGTAACAGCGAAACAGCTTAGCACAACGCATTCACCCTCGGCTCTGCGTGTGGATCCACTTCTCAAGTATACAGAAATCCCGCAACCCCAAATACTCGAAAGACAAAACTTCCACCCGCAGTGCCAAACATCAGTGAGGAATCACAGGTAGCGTGGCTTCGCCCATAGATCCTGTCCTACCTCAATCCGTACATACTGTTCAAGGTGGATCCCGACACACAACACGCACCGCATGCGGTGCAGGTTCTGCGCAAATAAAACAGCCACCTTGTACCACATGGTACGGGAATGTCCCCACAATCCCCCTTTGCAAGCCAGGACACTACACAACGTGGAAGGTTGGGAGGCAGCTAGTCCAGCTGTTATCCGAACACCCAAGAAAACCTCGTGAGACATGCGAGTACAGCGGCCTGCTCCAAGTGGATCCCCGACTAAGGATCTCACTCGCCGATCTACTCGTGCTGAAAATCTGATTAACGTTTTATTTTCTCTCTAGCAAAGCTTTCCTTGTGATTCGATCGCCGATAACTATCATTATAATAACGGGTATACGCCACAAAATTGGGTAAGTCCCACTATTCACTTGTGGTCCACTAAACATAAGACGCCAAGCGTTAGCCCAAAAGTGTCTGCGAGGCGATGGTGGCAAGCAGAAGACCTCGACTGCGTACAACGAGAGAATACTAGGGAACCGGAAAGGCAATCGGGATTGCGAGCAGACCTCGGAACGATGCAAAGATATACTCCAATGACTACGTGTGAGATCAATTAACGGTTTGAACGTTTGGTGTCATCGCAAGTTTCTGTTTGGAATGGTCAGAGTATTTTACCATCAAGGTTTTCCCCGCCGAATGTTCCTGCAGTGCCTCCATGAAGCCTGCCTAAACCACCTGTTTGTCTTACGATACTTGGAATTACGAAGAAGTCGCTCGTTTCTTCTGTTGGCCTCAGACAACTGACCCTACATCATATTTAAACAACGTGTGGTGATTCTATGCACGTGTACACCGATGGATCCACCACGCTAAACACCTCCGCCGCAGCCTTTGTCATCCCGGACACGGATATCACTCGACGATTCAAAGTGGACCATGAAACCACATCGACTGCCGCAGAGCTTGTCGCTATCCGGGAGGCAATAAGATTTATTTCCGGAGAGCGACCTCGAGCGTGGACGATTTTCTGTGATGCCAAACACGCTTTCCCAGCCATTAATTGCATCATGAAGCAAGGTCATTATTACATCTTGGCAATAGAAATCGCCGAACTTATCCAGGTTGCTTTAACGAATGGCCATCTTATCACTTTTTGGTGGATTCCCACGCATTTCTGCGGGATGGGAAACGAAGAGGCAGACGCTGAAGCTAAAAATGCCTTAAGCAGTGCCCCTGAAGTACGCATTGCGTTTTCACGAGCTGACATGAACGCCTTGCTTCGCTGCCTGATGCGCAGCTACACACTTCAGCACTGGACCAAACCGGAACAGCGACACCGGCGACTTCACAAATGCGACCCGGAAATGAGGTTCCGCATGCCCCCTAAATTGAAACGGCAACTCACAAGTACGATGGCCAGACATCGACAGTGCAACCGTGGCCATAAGAGCAGTTATAACCTTTTTGGAAGCAACTGGACTATATGCGTGGCTATAAAATTTTTCTCAGCTAGAAAGAATTCTATATACTCACCTCTCTATCTCATCATCATCGTCCATTAGTCTTCCTTCTCCCCTTTCCCCTCCCCCAGTGTAGAGTAGCAGGCTAGAGCAAGCTATCGCTCAGGCCGACCTCTCTGCATTTCTGTAAATAAACCTGTCTCTCTCTCTTGGACAACCGTGTCGTGTCTGCGACTGTCTATTTAACTCGGGCGTCTCTACGCTGAGAATAAGCGTGGAAACAACCTATAACATCGCTTAGCTAAAGCTTGTAGCAACAATACAAGCAACCCCGAACAAGTACCACCTAGCTAAGGGAAACAACCCAGAAGAATGCCCCGCCACGGTGGTCTAGTGGCTAAGGTACTCGGCTGCTGACCCGCAGGTCGCGGGTTCTAATCCCGACTACGGCGGCTGCATTGCCGATGGAGGCGGAAATGTCGTAGGCCCGTGTGCTCAGAATTGGGTGCACTTTAAAGAATCACCGGTGGTCCAACTTTCCGGAGCCCCCACTACAGCGTCTCTCATTATTCTGCGGCGGTTTTGGGACGATAAATCCCACATATTAATCAATTAATTAACCTAGAATTAGCCACATTAGTAAACTCCCGATCGTCTTTTCGCTGTTTCAAGTTTTCGCGCGGCCGAGTGCTATAGCTCCCACCCTCCTTTTTTGTTTTTGTTTTACCTCGTAGTTTTCCTGAGAATTTTTTTCGAAAAACTCGGGGGCATTGAAGGTAGATGACCCACCGGACAATGGAATGACCACTTCCCACCAAATTCAGCGGACAATGCGGGCACTGTGGTGCGCGCACGCCTTTGAGAAAACAACTCCGCGACATTTATCATGCACTGAACCATGGGCCTGTTGTATGGCCTATCGATATCGAAAAGAATGCCTTAGACAACATGCAGCGAGGGTAAGTTGGAAGGGGTTCAGTTGTGCTTATCCACACCGAGCGAGTTATTTGATATCAAATTGGACAACGCTTAAGATTGAATTGTTTACTGATACAGCTGCACTGTCCTGTCGAAAGGGGGTCGTCAAAATAAAATAAAAACGAACAGGAGTCTGAGAAGTTAACGATTCGTTTATTGAAGAGGACCTCGAGTCAAAGCTCACCATGTCATCCCGTCAATTAGTCCTAGCGGTTGTTTTCTTTTTCGGTGTGCCGTGGGCCTGTACGCTGCCCACGACCAGCGAGAAAAGTCGAGTGGAGTTCAGGGGGTAAGAAGGTGCTCAGGTTGCTCCAAAACAGTCGTGATGAGCACAGACACAATGAAATGTTGTTGTTTTTTTTTTCATTCTTTGTAAAGCTGAGGGATAGTAGGGCAAAATAGTCCAAGGACGCTCGGTGCTGTTTAGCCTTAATTATTCAGTCAGTCGATAATCCGCACTGTATGAAGACGCTCGGTCCAGTTTAGCTAGAATCATTCTATCAGTCAGTCGGTGACCGTCGTGTGGCGTCAGTGGCAAACGCTTTGCGCCCAGGTCGTGGGTTGGACTCCCCACGGGCATCAACGGCCGCATTTCGATTAGGGCGGGCCGCACACTTGTACTTCAATTTTAGGTCTACGTCATTCACAGAACCAAGTGGTGTGAAACTTGATCAGTAGTTCACCCCTAAGGCGTGTTTCATAATATCGTAGCTTTGGTCCGTGAAATGCAACGTTAAACTACGAGGACGTAAATGTGGTCACTGGCCAAGTCCAAGTCACATTGACTTGGCCAGTGACCACATCTACATCCTCATTATGATATCCGACAAGACAAGCTTTCATCGAACTCTTGACTGAATATCGAACTATCAATCACCCGAATCAATCAGCCACTTGAATCAGTGTAGTGAGCCTGCCACGTGGTCACCAGCCTAGGCGTACGCTCAGGAAAGAGGTGGAGGAAGAGGCAGTCCCCTATATTATAAGGGGAGCACCAGTCTGCTAACCCCCCCCCCCCCCTCCTCTCTTCTCCATCTTCGCTCAGTCAGAACTACTCCGTCATTGTCCAATGACAGGGTTATGGCAATAAAGGTTCTTAATGATGACGGCGGCTGAGGAACCCTGATGTTGTGTTCTAAGGAGGTCTTCCTCCCAACCTCCACCCCTTGAAAGCCGTGGACCATAGGCGGGTCGCTGATAACAGCACGTCGACGTTTCACTTTCAGTTTTGCATCCACTGCGAAGCTTGTTTCCTTTCGGACTCGACGCTTCATCTTTTAACAAAGTTCATTGCTGGACTAGTGGGTTCATAGTCTTAAATACTGGATAGCTTGAATTAGGTGCAGCCCCAGGACAGAACCCGGCAGGAAAGTAGTGAGTAGCGCTTGTCCTGTGACTCTGTGTACTTTCCTAGTCCTGTTTCAAAATCGCGCTATCCATTAAGAGTGAGTAAGCGCAAAACAGACAAGGACGTAGAAGAGACAGACACATACAGAGCGCTACTTTCAACTGATCTTTTATTTTCGCACGAACCGAT